CTCCTGGCCTTACTACTAGGAAGAAGAAGCTACTAGGGGCTCCTGGCATCACTACTAGGAGCAAAAACGCTACTACAGAGAATTCGATGCAGCTAGTCACTCCACCAAGGGGCGCGACACGGTTGGATATTTAGTAGTCGACACACAAACAGAAGACGAGAGCAACATGGTGAGCACTCTCCTTGCGGCCGATGTTGTGAATGCCCGCGAAGTTCTCTCCTCGGTCCTGCAGGGGGCTGGCAGCTCGAGGAATTTTGCTCGGGAGGTACTGGAACTGTGGGTGGCAGAAACGGCCGCATGTGAAAGCTCTCCATCTTCCATGGCGAGACAGCTGACTTCTCAGCACCTTTCCAGGGTGCAAAGAACGGAGTATCCATAAGACAAAACCAACTCACACAGTAGGAGGTTCTGAGTGTGCTAGTTAAAGAGCAACTGGATTCACAAGAGCTTGAACGAACTCGATGGGTTGGTTTAGCTGGCCATAACCTCTGGTTGTGTAGCTACGAAACGTCTTGGATCCACAGTTTTCACAGGGTTCGGCTAGATGCATTCGCGTCCTAAATTTGGTGATGAAGAACTCAATTAAATGGCTGTCGCAGTTGGCATCCCACACAGGCACAACGAGACATTTTCGTGACGAGGCCCTCATCTCCTCATATGACGGGATGCGGCCAGCCACCCCTGGCCACGAAGGGCAGGGAGTAGGCTGCACCAAACCAACCCAAGCAAATCACCAAATCAGTATGACCAGTCTCAACGGTTAGTTAGCAGGGGGAGGCAGGATGTATTCCAGCAAACCAAACCGGACAGTTCACCTAGGTTCAAAGTCCGAACCCGTCCAAACCCTTGAAGGATCAAATAAGCTATCATAGGATGGTGCTACAGCGGCAAAAAGGTGGCATTGATCCCCTGAGGGGACGCCTCGGTCGCAGGGACGCCTCCAGCATATGCACCCGGCATCCCCAAGATTTTCTCGAAACAAGCGAAAGTTGGCATAAGAAAGGTCCTATATAACCCTCCTAACAAAGGCAAGGCGGGGTCAACTGGACATCCACACGACTCTAGCAGCGGGACAAGTTGGTTTTGAGGTGTCAAAACCATCCAAGAAGGCCAGCTACCAATAATGATAGCAACTATCCCCAGTTCCACCAGGACCAAACACTTGCATGCTGTCTCACTAGCATGGAAGTGGAACATGGCCTACGGCATTTGGGGAAACTGTTTTCCTCAAACAGTTCCATCTTAGTGTCTCTATGTATATCAAGCGAAATCCTTCCAAAACATGGAAATCCTTCAATCTATCATTCCTCTGCCAAAAAGCTACGGGAAGGTCCGCACCTGTGGAGTAGGCCGTCCGGTAGGTGAGACGCACCTCGGGCGGGCGACCCAGAGAAGCGGAGAAGAGAACACATGACAACATGACGATAGTTTCTGATTGTCTCTTTTAGATCCCCTTTCACCTGTCACCAACTTCCTGTTCCATCCTTTCAGGATTCAAGATCCAAAGAGCTTCTCAAGAAACAAAAAAGAAAACACCGTCAACCCCTGTTTTCTTACTCCCAGCTGTCACTGTGTCACCACCCTTGTCCCGGTCGCTCACAAAGGTGCCCGGTCCGAGGCGCCAGGTCGTTGGTGGGGACGCTCTTCACTGCCGAGCTCCCCGGCAAGCAGCCTCGAAAGCGCGGCTTCGCAGCGTAGCGGGGAAAGGGGGGAGAGCGGTTGGAGCAATGTTCAGGGAAGGGTAAAAAGAAATCCGGAAAGGATTCTGAATTGCTGTATCTCTCGGCAGTTCCAGGACTTCAAAGAACAATCAAGAGGATCTCTGTCGCAAACGCTCTTCGCGGATGCATGGACATCGCCAAGAGGCCCGTTGACTGGTAGATGACCTGCGGCGCCAGTGAAGGGTGGGTAAATATGTTTTGGAGAAAAAAAACAGTTCTCATGTATGGTGTGGTTCATTTATCAGATCGCGATGAAGTCCGTTCATGTTGTTTTACCTAGTTTTGGCAGTGCACTATTTGTCGCGTGCCGAGTCTCGCAATTTGCCTTCGGGTCAAGAAGAAAAACTCTGGCTGCCTAAGTTTATTGGGCAAACATGGCATTCATGACAGTATTGGCCAACTTGGAAAGGAGACCTGTGCTTCTCCATCACATCTTGATTCTCGTCTCCGATTCAAACAACCAGCCACACGGACGACCGACCGACACCTTGTGAGCCATGACGCCAAAGGACGACCGCTCGAGCCAAAGGGACTGGATGATGGGCGAATGGTGCGGGGGAGATGGGCGAATGATGCATACAAATTCAGTGCGAATGGTGCACGTCAAGGCGTCAAGAGAAGAGTGATGGTGTCTCCCATGTTCATTCACAAGGAAAACGACCTCTTTGAACGCAGGTCCATTCTCTATGTCTAAGTGTGAAAAACGGGTGGTGAATGGTGAACCCCGAAAACCTCGGCGCCCCAAAAAATCCAAACTTAAAAGTGGCTCTGGGAGGTATTGGAAACCATGAAGCCTTCTCTATGTGGCATCGCAGACTTTGGCAACATGAGCGTCGATGTCCGAAGCGGACACGACTGACACTCTTGAAACAGCTTTTAAATTGGAACCTCTCCAAAGGCAGAACCTCAACTGTCAGCCACTGATTCTTACGAGTTTCAAGTTGGATGAAGTTACTTCTTGATGTTCGCTGCCCCTTTCCCATATGTCCATATGCAGCACGGCCTTTTGCTGCGCCCTCAGGGCAGTTTGTAGCACATACGACCGAAGCGTCCCGCGAGAGTCGAGGCAAAGTCCGATCGCCGTCATCACGAGGGGATGAACATCGCTTTGGTACGTTGTCGCCGTTGAAGAGGCAAACATTGAGATGGGATCGAACAAGTTCATGACCATATCGACCATTTCCCATGTCCAATACATCTTGATCTCTATAATGATTCTTTTAATGCCATCTCAGAGGATGACTCGGATGGCATTGCGATGGTTAGAACATGTTAGAACCATGTTAAACCCCTGAGCCTTTTGGGTCATTTGTACAATGTTTCCTGGTGGTGAAAGGACTGAAATCGTTCACAACTGAAGAATCTTATTAGCAGGAAAATAGCTCGCCATGGCATCACTGCAGGTATAATATGGTAAAATCTGCCTCTGCCCATCTTGCAATGACCAATGGCCCACCTAGCTGGGGCCTAGTCACCTCTGATCTCCTCTGCCCCCCTCCGATATCAGCGATGCAAAGACTTCACCACGGCCAGATGCGAATCTGTACAAGGCGGAACCCATCTTCAGATCGATCTGATCTCAGCGCTGCCACGCAGACCAACGACATCGCGGCCGCAGCCGCGAGGCATGGCAGGGGCGAACCCGCGTGCAGGTGAAGGTGGGCGCAAGGGTGGAAAATCCCAACCTATTCCAATGACTAGATTGATAAATAAACCAGAGAGTCATCACTGAGGTGAATGTGAACGACGAATCCCGTAGTTTTTTGGGTCTTAAGTTGACACCCACACCGTTGAGTCGCCCAGGATGAACACTGGCTCTTGGGATGAAGCATTTGGACAAAAATATACAAAAAGTACTGACAAGGCATGCCGAGGAAGGCGACTAGCCGTCAGGTAGTTGATCAACCGGGAGACCAGCCTTTCTTTGGTCTTCAACGCATATCTGGTCTTATGATAGTCTATTCTGGCTCCACTTCAGATTGATAGAATAGCACTGCAACATAAGGCAACACCAGGCAAAAAACAAGTACACCACCTGGAACCCATGCTCATTCAGTCAGCTAGACATGGCCCTCACAGAGAACTTCACCACCTATCGGTCCATGCCCGATAGGCGGTGACGCTGCCCAGCAGTAACACCCCTCGTGCGGATCGTGTGCGTGATTTCTCGCGCACACGTGGTAGCGTGGCAGAGGGCGAATGATCATCGGCAGATCCCGAGAGGAATCCAAAACAGTACAGATGCAGACTAATGAACATGTCAATATAGTTCAATAGTGGATTTGCCAAGCTTTCTAACTTTTGGGGGTTCTCTGCTGTAAACATCATGGCTTCCAAGCGATCAAGCAGTGCTCAGGATGGTTTGAGTGAATGGCTTGCCTACCGAAGACATAGCAAAAGCCTCTTTGACTTAATCATACTAAACTACCTAGTCGGATCAGCTGCTCGAAACACCCGTAAAATACCGTGGTTTCCATGGTTGTCCCAGCCACTGGAGGAGTGACCTCAGGCAACAGACTCGAGAAGATCTGGAGGAAATCATTCTGAGAATCTTTTTAATCTTCCTAAAACTCCGGGAAGATCCTACCTCTGTGAAATGTTAAAAGCGTTTCCTTGATCTGATCCTTGATCCTTTCGCCTCACAAAGCAGCTGGCAACCACCTAGTACTGCATCTTCTCATCTTCTCAGAAACACCATGGCCCAGTCTTGATGTTCTGTCAAGGGTCACAAATGAAAATGATCTGCTGAGCACCTGGAGATGATCAATGCCCTGCGCTGGATCGTCAGAACTCTTGGATTGCTTAAAAGACTTGCCCTGCGCCTCCTACTTTCACCTTCCACCCCCATAGCCCCTGTGAAACATCAGCACATGGTTGCTCACGTCTTAAAGAAAACCCGGGGAATGGAATTCAAATGGTTCCCTTTTCTCCCACATCACCATCATAACTATCCTGAATCTGTTTCATCTGCAGGGCGGCGCAGGGCGGACCTTCCGGCCCCGGGGTTTGGGTCGTGTCGTCTCACCGAGTCGTCTTCGCTCTGCGATGCACCGAGACGTCTCACCATCCCCACCCCTTGGACCTGTGCAACGCTTTCCACGGGGAGTGCGGGCCAGAAAGGGGAGGCAGTTGGAAGTGGTGCTGGGAGGTCAATAGGTGAAGGGAAGTGAAGATGTGATGAGATTCTGATGAGATACGAGTTTGATGTGCCGCTTGGAAATCCGATGACATCACTTTGGAACAACAGCAAGCCCCTGACCTAGTCCTGTCGTTATGACGAGATCGTAGAAACGATATCCCGAATGAGTGGCTTTGGCTGGGATTGTTGTCCCTCAACGGTATATGATGTTTTATTGTGCTGTGGTTATCTCTAGCTCCAGCTCTAGCTTTAGCCGTGTGGGGAAGAGCTTGAAGACTCGAACATACAAAAGGAACAAAAACATACCCCCCAGACCGACTATTTCCAAGCAAGTTCAAAAAGCTATGGCCACCTAGCCGGACCTAGCCGCAGCCCCATTCAGCTCCAACCGTTGACAAGCAGCAAACGGACCCCGTCGCCCTTTGCAGAAGCACCCAAAATACAGACCACTCCGAAAGGAATCAAAAGCTTCTGATGAAAAGTCTCCAAGACGCCATCCCTTTGGCCATGGCTGCCATTCGGCCCAACCACCTCAACGTCTCTCATCTCGGAATTCAATCGTTCGCAAAGGATAGTTCAAGCCGGTGAAGGATGGTTGCACCCTCCAACCGATCGTGCAATTGCTTGGGAGAGCAGGGTCGTACAAGTCATCCGCACTTGTTCCTGAATCCAACTACTCTTCCAAAACCTGTGCGTGAATCCAGTTCGTCTTCCTTGCAGCCAAGAAGCCTTTGCCCTTGCCATATCCATCCCAGCCCCATGGCGGATAGCCACCCTTGCCACCCTGACCGGCTTGGTCGTGGAACACAAGTTGTTGTCATGAATGATTTCACGGCACCAAAAATTCTGCAGTAACTAGTTTCCACATGTTTCCACAGCATCTGCACAGTCTAAACAGTCTCTACATGGTCTTGACCCAGCTGCTCTTCACAGCTGTGGAGACATGTTCATATCCCGGCTCAGCCAGCGTGCCTTGCCGTGTGGCCCTCCAGAGGTGCCAGCACCTGCCCCGAGCGCCCACGCGTGTCCTGCCCAATAAGTCGTGGTTTTGGAATATCTCAGGCCTGTGAATACTGGATGTTCCTGTGGTTGCAAAAAACACTCAGTCATTTGTCATTGTCCTGTGCTGTTGAGACTATACAACTTATGTCACCTCGTCGCTACCTCCTCAGAATCTCTGCATCGCCATACTCCGGGTCTCTACCGCGCCTGTTTTTCCGCTTGCAGCCTGGCCACAAGCGCTGTGCATCGACCAACAGAAGGTTATTCGTTCAAACTCCCAATCCAAAAATGATTCCAGGTCTGATCTGGTGGTAGAGATTCCCCAGACCGGACGAAGGTCATGGTTCGTGTGAAGTCATCGAATTTGAGCCATTGGCAACACAGGAGGGTTTAACATCGTGTTACTTTTCCATTGATGTATACCGATACCTCAACAATCACGTGGCATGGTTGCATCATGCTCACCTGATTTCATCTGGTTGCACAAACATGTTTGTCGAACTGCAACTGGCAATTGTCTACTTTCCACAGAGTTGATCACCAAGGTATCTGTTGAACTTCGCTCTTGGCGACCCAAGTCAAACATATTGAGGACCCGGCCACTTTAGGACTTTTCTCCAACTTCATAGGTTTGGCATTGCTGCTACGGCACAGCCGCTGTCATCTCATCAAAATCAAGAACTGGCTTTGCTCCTCCAGAACCAAAGGAAAGCCAACAAGGGCAGTGTCCACTCTGCGGGCCAATCTGAATCCTTGACTAGGCTGCACATCATGTCACATGACTCAATACCGAGCTCTTTCATTCTTGGTGCCACTTGGTGCATGCCTTCCGGCATTGTCCTGCTCTTCCATCGTTCGTGCCTCTGTTTCTTCGTTTCCATCTCCAAGAAAGCATCCACACCAATGCACATTCCCTTCATGAATTTACGCTCAATGGGTGTTGCTTCATTCGAGCTCTCCATACAGAAGAACATGTCATCAAGAATGAGGATCAACGTCTCTGCCAATGTACTTGATCGGGTGTGCGAGTCTCCTTCCCCTTGTCGCTTCTTTCTCCGCTTTCTGGGTTGAATAACACCCTTGTCTGTCGGCATCTGAGGAAAATCCTTTGCCTTGCCTTTTGCATCGTCGGCCAATAACTTGCTCGAGAACCTCAAGTCTATGCCTTCTTGAGAGATGGACATCTTTTTCTAGCCGCAAGGCCTGCTTGTTCGCATTTGTCTGGGGTCCCTCTTGCGCAAGACATTCATATTCATCCCAGATAGTGTTTTCACACAAGGTCTGTGGGTCGTCCGCTTGATTGCTGAGCACCCCAGTGCTTTGTCCAATCTGCAAAATAAGTTTGGCAAGAACTTGGC